TGTGAACGTTTTACTAGCAATGTTATTAGTTTAATTTCATGCAACTACCAACCTTACTACCATATCAACACAACTCATAATTATTATTCATGTAGAAACTAGCTTTTGCCTGCGGCTTCGCCCGCGTATATGTCGGTTATCGCGGTAACATAATGTAGTTTATGTTACTCGCTGATAATGTAGTTTAGGCGTGAAAGCATAAAAATACAAACTCAATTTCACATTTACTCTATAAGTATTAAAGTATGGATGTATGGCCGAGCACTAGCTCTTATGATACAAGTTTTTACCTATTTCAAGACATAGGGTCTTTCAATTACTGGACATAGATGAAAATAAAAAGGAGCTAGTGGCTAAATGGTAACCGACAAGGTTTACACATTGCAAAGTTAAACAATCCTAGCCAGGTCAGCCTATGGATGGGTGACCATTCTTGACTCATTGCGTTTTTCCTGCGTGCCTCAGAGAGCATAAAAAGCCGTCGATCCCAGTTGCCATACGAGTATATCCACCCCTATTCATCCCGTAAGAGTCGACTAAGGGAGCAAACTACGAAGGACAACAACACTACAAAGAAAAGGTAAACTGACACAAACCCTGTTCCAAACCGTCTGGCCAGTCGGGTATAGTTGGCCAAAACCTCCTTTCTATGGAGAGGCCTATGTCCAGCAGTGGGCTATTGAAGGCTGTTTATGTGTGATGTGATACGAACATTTGTTTCAATCGTTTTTCGTACATGCATAACGTCTTCTAGCCACGAGAGAAATCCTGAAAAATTTTCTTTTTCAGAGTATGTTTCATATAAAAATCTATTTCATATTATTTGCCATTTATGTTCGATACAAAAAATAACAAGAAGAGAAGTAAACTAGTTCTGTTCATCAATCTAATTGTGTACCTAAAACGATCGTCTAGTGGGGCCGGCCGGGAGCGGGCCGGTTTGTTGTATAAACTTTGACCAGTCCTACAATTGTCTATATCATTAAATTAAAAGCTTTCGTGTTTGAAGGCCATTAGTAATATTCGCGGCACCTAAAGCACCATTCGTGGTTGGTACAAGGGCACGGTTGGCTAAACAGTTAAATAATTTACTATCCATAAATTCCCGATCAAGAATTTGATAAGACACGTCAGGGCTCTTTACGAGTTCAACCAGTGTTTAAGTAAACTAGATTGAAAGTAGTTGGATTAATCTATTTGTATTTTTTTGGTTCTAGCCATCGATCGACGGAGTGTCGATAAGCGACTGCCACAATTTCTTATTGATACTTTAAAATTTTCACTTACCTTTTAATTCGGTTCTATAAAAAAGCCAAAGCTTCGTAAAAAGATTATTGAATACATTATTATGCAAGACGAAACAGAAAAGTGTAGCCATATTTTTAAGCTACGGGTAAAAGGTACGGGACAAAAAAGGGAGGTTATAATGAAAAAATGTTTCAAAACTGACGATATGGTAATTCTCTAATCTAATCAAATCTTTTAACACTAAGATATCTTAATAGAATATCTGGGTGTGTCTAGAAAAGTCTGCCTAAGATATAACGAAAATTTGTAAGTACCAAAATTTATCTTAATTTTCAACTTTTTTTTATTTTTTGGAATTATTTGTGCTGTAAAACGTTTCTTTTTGGCAAATTTCGTGATTCTAGGTCAACGGGAACTATCATATAGGTTTTCGAACCAAAACCTATAGGGTAATTCCGGTTGACTTAGAATTGACAATTTTGGTTAAAAGCAAGGTCTTACAGCACAAGTAAAGGTAAAATTCTGAAAAATAAAAAAACTTGAAAATTAGGGTAAATTTTGGTACTTACAAGTTTTCGCGAAAATTGAAATTTGCCCATATCTTTTTATCGTGTTGACTCAGGACCTTGATTTTTAAACACCTAATATGGACCATAGACCTCAGTATCTGGTATAAATTTTAAATTGCTCAGTCTACGCGTTTCTGAGGAAATCGGTAGTGACACACGGACAGACGGACAAGAAAGAGATCTTATAAGGGTTCCTTTTTAGGTACGGAACCCTAAAAAATTACGTTAAAATTATTAATACAATGATCAAATCCGTCTTTTTAGACGGCCTAGACTGTTTATTTGCTACATTATTTCGGCAAAGGTATAACTACACTGATTTGGAAAACGTTGCATAATTAAAACTGATTTAGGTATTTGAGTTAAAGGAAACACAAAACACGGATTGCAGTCTCATTTATTTTATGGTTTTGTATTATTAAACTAAGATAGTTACACCAAAACACACATTGCGTAACAAACTGGATTGAAGGACATGTAAGTAAACCAGTGACAAATAGTGTGTAGTCAGCAAAAGGGAGTCACTGAACACATTTTGTCGTAATCTTCCTAAGCATTTTATAAACTGCTAGGCACTAAAAAGTTTTATTTACGTAGCATTTTTCACCATTTTTTCATATTGAAAATCCGTTTAAATGGTACAATTACGAAAGCATATTAAAATTTGTGCTAAATTAAAAGTTTGTGTATTTATCAACACGTTCACCCACTTGAATGAAATAAATCGCTGCGTTATGGAGTTCGAGATTGTGACTCAGCTATGAGCTGAGTGAATAACCGAATTCATGTCACTGAGAATTGTTTATAATATGTATGAGCTAAGAAGGTTTGTAAATGTGTTCAGTGGTGTAAATTACCGACTAAATCTACAGATAGATTGCTGTTAACCCTGCTTGCGTTCATTCGGGTAGAACAATTCTATAATTACATTTTACATTATTAAGTACATTACAATAAGTACGACAAAGGAATGTCTACAAGACCGAATCAACAGCAAAAGGGTTGTCCTAAATATCATCTAAGGAGTGAATGGGGTATGTTTCGCTCGACCACGAAGCATATCTAACACGTAAAACGTAATTCTAAATGCCATTTTGATATATTTTAATATTGTCATTGTTTTAATTTAATTAGTATTAGGTAAATACTTTACAAATAGTTCGCTAGATGAAAAGTAGAAAAACGAACTTAGCTTTTATTAAGAGCATAGTTTTGCTTTAGCATAACACCAAATAAACGAACTAAAGTTACCTTAGGTAGTTCATTCTAGGCTATTTATAATAATTCTCTATACATAACATTACGTATGTAGTTACTTTAAAATGTACAGGCTTAGAAATAAAATTCAAATTCGTAATTTATTTACTTCGTAACATAACTAGCCTACTGCCGGCCTTACATTTAATACTTGATTTTGCAGCAAGAACAGTGTGTTAAAGTTAGAATAATTGATTATACATCTCGTGAAAATACGACGATATGACGATATTACACGGCCCAATAAAATTATTTCAATTCTATTCGAAAGGCTACCACTTTGAGTGATGATTAAAATTATGACCTTTTCTTTCTTTTTCTTAAACAATACTCTATACATACGAGTATAAAGACATTAGGACAAATCGTAACTGTAGGCGAAATGTCTGAAGTTTCCATGAGTGCCTTTGTGGCATTCATATCTACAACTACGAACATTAACCCCGAGAAATTCGCACAGAACATACCTACTTGGGTTAAAATTACTCACAGATTACTTACTCAGAATTTGTCTAAGATAACGGACTTTTCGTAACATTTATTAGATAACTCTATTAAAACATTATGCAGCTTGTAAAAATTCTAATCTATTTGTAGATATTGTATGTACATATATTACAACATGCCAGTTAAAAAATACTAACAAAATCTGCACCAGCTTATCTCGTGTTATACAAAAAATCAGATATCATCGTGTGCTTTATTGCAATACTAACTTAATACATCGATCATAGCGTATTATAAAGTAGTTATTTGCTTATAAAACTTTTATGGCACTAATGAATAATACAATACAGAATGTAGTACAAATATATGTGATAGTTGATCACTTGTTTGATTCAAACATGGCTGATAATTTTAGATTAAACTACAAAAAAAGTATTCAAGACAGTAGATTAAAAAATAATTGTTATCGTGTTTATTTCTTTTTAAATAAAAATGATTCCTTATAGCAAGTAAGATTAAATAAATTAATTTATGTGTAACTATAGTAATTATAAGTGGAATGATATGAAACATCACATACAAAGTAACGACTGTTATTAGAATATAATTTTTATATTAAAAATTATGGACAACTAGTATTTATTACTATGCTTGAAATGATGAGTACATACTCGTAATAGTCTTAAACCTGTTACTGTACAATTACTATGGCACTGTCATTTATAAATAACTAATAAATATTATTAACCACAAAAAGAAATGGCATAAAATGTACCATAACCATTATTATCACACAAATAAGTTAAGAAACAATTAGTAAAAAAAAATGCTTATTTTTATTCAAATATTTTAGTATTGGAGATGGAATGTGACTTTTCAAAGCCTCTTCACAGGTTTCTAACACAATAGTTTAAAAAAAATATATAATTATTTTCATTTGTCCATGTTCACGGTAGTAACCATGTAAGTTATACGTAGGTATTTACTAATCTAGAAACTAATTTATATATTTGTTCTAGTTGTAACAACAAAATATCAAGAGTCTTGTTCATATCAGTACTTTCACGATATCTATATACGAATATATTTCATACCTCTGATGTATATTCCGAGCACCAATTTAAACGATAATCGATAGACTCCCTATAATATTTAAAACTATAAAATAATTTATTATGGCAACGTTTTTTTTTTGGTAAATACAAATATTTTCTCTTCTATCTTTAATTTGAAGCGATATGAATTGTTATACTTCTAGAGATATGTTATTAGACTTTTAGGGCACGTATAAAGTAGACATTTATTTAAAATTTCGGAATATTTCGGATCGGATACGTAACGGTAGGTACATTATCAAACAGGTACATTAAAACTACTATACAACACAATAACTACAAAGTAATACTTTTTAAAATCTCACAATCCACTTGGCAATATACACAGACGAATCGTGCCTCTGTCGCACGACTATTCCTATTGTCAATCGCAATGTCGTACGGCTGTCGTAGGACGTATGGGCAGACTAAGGTCGATGTGACGTCCGTTGGCTTTGACACTCGCGACGCAACCACGAAGACCTGTGTAGAGAGCCGCTGGTAAACCCAGGGGTAGAGATGGAGATCCTCCTGTTTGCAACACAAGAGTAGATTCGTTAAAGTACATCATTCTTGTTAATAGAACAGATAAGGATTCTTTAAAGATATTAGGTAACCCTGATTTATATAAAGGTATATTTGGACGATCTGGGTCTAGACCGGATCATATTTTTATAGGTAATCAGTTATAGATCTGCAAATAACTTTTTATAAAGTGTAATGCACCGACATTACAATAACATTATGACATGACATTTCTTAGATTTCCACCCTTATATAATCAAAGGCCACCAGACATATATGGATTTTAACATAGATGCGTTCACTTGAGGTTGATCGGATTGAAGGAGTTCATTTTGTTCTGCCTCCGAGTTTAGATGATAATCATTGGTTTGTAATTTAATACAAGAATTTGATTCACAATTATTTTTTTTACATTGACAACCCTAATGCCAGAGGTATTTATTTCAGCGTGGTGCCGAAATAATTAACTAAGTGTGCAAAAATTTAACTAGTAAATTAAAATTTAAACAGATACGTATTTGAATTAGAATTTAAGGATCATTTTTAGTTTTAAATTTTAAAATAAAAAAAACGCTTTTATTTTAAATAGTTCATAGTAACAAAACTATCATACCAATCCACAGCTTCGGATTTGACTTCGAAGGCACTAACAACGACTGTGAGTACCCTCTAACTGGCGGTGTATCATCCACTTGCAACATTGCAAGTCTCTTCCTCCGTCTCACGGTTGCGGTATGCCACCTTCCATCGTCCACCCGTACTTTCGACTCAATACACTGGAACCAGTCTTCTTGAGTCGCGGAGTTCACCTCTTTTATGTCCGTATCAGTATACATAAGCTGAAGTTTCCCCTCGCTTAAACCCAGTCCGATGAAATCACGAGGTCGTATACCAATTTTACGTCTCCACATCAGGAGACCAGAATCGTTGTACGTACGGAACTTTATTTCATATCTAATGCCGCGTGAACCGCTGTTTCTAAAAAGGTAGTTTCGAATTATTAAAATAAGGTATTTCTGATTATTCACCTGTTATTTCATTAGTAAAAATAACTAGTAATGTTATTATTGTATAGAAAATTTTCACATGCGAGTTTAAATATTAGATATTTTTGTTTTGTTAGGATGCTGGACGGAGTGGTAGTTTGCACGAAAAAAAAACACACTATTTGTTTTGTTTTTTGATTAAAGCCTTGTTATATTAACCTGTTAAAGTACATAATATAACATATGCCCATCGATTACTTCATCTTCAGTTAATTGATAAAAATATTACTATCATCAAAAATTTAACTGTCTAATTTGTTGAAACACATTGTGTATTGACAACAAATGATGAACGAATTAGTAAACAAACCTAGACAAAGAGCATTTAACAAAGTCAGATGAATATGTATTACATAGCACTTACTACAAAAGTATAATATGAAGAACTCTGTCCAATTTCAATAATAATCAATTAACAGTTAATTTGGAGCATGCATTAGGAATAACTAACATATGTGTGAGAGACGACTTTCATAGAAAATTTCTTCAATTTTATTTGTTCAATTTGATACTACTGACCCTTACGAATTGATTGACCCTTCTAATCATGTAAATGTAACATAGTGTTTGGTATCCTGATTAGAATAATATAGTCATAGAAAGGAAATATATATTAATTAAAGTTATTGAATTATTTATTGTTGAGAATACTTAGAAAAATATAAGGTGTACTTGAAAGCAAACCACACTCTTATACCCGAATACGTTGGGAGCTAAAATCGGAGAACGTTTAGGTAATTATTTATCCTCGGCGTACTGGTGAACAATATTACACATTTACCCACCAAAATTTTCCCATGAACATAAATATATTCTGCCGTAAAAATAAACGTTTGACATACTTTAAACCCCTTGGTAAAGTGGGTGTATTTGTCAAAGACTTTATAAAGAAAATTAAGTATTTAGATCGCACAAAGGAGGTAAAATGAGTATAAAAGGGGTTAAAAGTTTATTGTATCAGGAAAAAATATGTTTAAAACACTTCTATCGAATATCGAGTTGCTTAAACTTTTTCATCGATGAAAATAACGGCTTGAAATAGCCTGCGTAGTTTTATTAACTTTGTTGTTATTAACGTTACGTACTACTTAATGGCTTCGAACATGTCCTTATTTAAAGCGAGCAATAAATAAACACACAGTGAGCAACAATAGACGAAAAATTTAACTTAAAATAACGTTGAAACTACTGCATAAGTCACTCTACTTCGAGCTAGTCAATCAGAAATAAGTTTTGTTAGCGTAATGACAAAGCGGGGCAAGAAGATAAAACATTCTTAAAGCTTCCACTTATATCTTAAAAGAAGATAATCCTTCGTATTTAAACGAATTAAATTACATTTCAATTAATTTAATCTGTTACCAAAAGTTTAATAATTTTATGAAGTAACAAGTAGCTAATTAATTTGTCATTTATCACCAAGTTAACATTGAGTACAAACAGATTAAGTAATAATCAACCTTAGAAACAGCTTTCATTGAGAATAATTTGATTCCAACACTTGCTTTAGTAAAGTTTAGACGCAAATACGAGAACAAATAAGTAAAGGTAAGTATTATACATAAATACGCTATCTAGAAACAGAAACAGTAATTACTGGTGACGTTGTTAGGTTAACGTATTTATGTAAATGTGTAAACTTCGACGTAACTTATTTGACTTGCTTTAAATTTATACATTCAGAGCGGAGGCCAAGAAAATCTTGTCGATGCGCATCACTCCACCGTTTTACAATAAACACTATAGAAAAAAGGATGCTAACTCGCTAAAAGCTCGCAACTATCTATTTTATTGCCAAATACACGTAAACAAATACACGTGCTATTAATTACATTTTTAATACGCAACTTTGCTTTGCAAAAATAACAAGACAAATAATTTAGTTTTTTTTGAATTGCCGTTTTGCAAAATAAGTGTATATATTGAGGTTACAAATATGTGTAAATGGGAACATTAAACCAATTACAGCGCATTAACTATGTCACTGAAATGGAATAGTTAGAAAGCCACCAAAAAGTACTTCAGAAACTTCTACTAAAATATGTATGAAATCGTTTACGGAAAAAAAATGGTGTCTGAACGTTTCTTAATCTATAGATAAATATCGACTAAGGGCTGCAGATATAGATAACGGCTATAGGTATCATTAAATTCGGCCAACTATTCAAATTACACTTTAAGTGGAGAAATTTCCTTGTCGGTATTAAGTATTCATGTTTCAGAACCACGCTGCTGCCTAATGTCCCCACTTAGACTATTACTAGCAGGAAAATAATAAATTTTTAATGTTTTACCTAATCTAAGTGATGTGACGTTATATGGACTAATTTATAAAATTATATGCTGACTCCTTCAAATGTTATCTTACACCATAGTGTCCCCCATCGACGCCTTTGTTAGTATGTAAGCTAAAAAGATAGAATATTAGTATTAGGAAACACAAATGCTTGCAGCACATTGGCACTTTACATATCAAAGTATTGCATTTTAGCTCAGATGAAGCTATTCAATAAGAAAGGTGTTCTTATATATTATAGAACGTAATGACAAAAACGTTTAAAATCGTATTTCAAAATGTCAGTTTTGTTTACAGTACTTAGATACGGATAGTTAAGAAAAATATATTTTTAAACATTTGAAAGATCTTTCTATGGTCGCAAATGATTAAAGTATCTTTTGAGTGTCATTTCACCAAGCATTATACTCTTAAGATTTTTTGCTATATTGTGATTGTAAGATAGCAATGTACTGTTGCAATATTACATGTAGATTAGTGAAAAACTATTAGATATTAAAAAAAAGGCTATAAATCAGTTAAAGAACAAACCATATAAAACCGTATTTGTGAACAATATAATTTGAATTTGTACCTTAAATACTTGAATAGGTTTTATTTTTTAGGTTAAGTAGTATTTTATTCATTACCTGCGACTTCCTCTGCTACGGTAGGAGAAGTAATTATTTCCGTCGAATTTCACTGGAGTTCTTTCGTTTAACATTTCTACATTGATTTGGATTTCACAGTTTCTTCCTTGGTAGCCGTCTCGGCAAATACACTTGTACTCGTTCAGTAAAGGTATGCACGAACCGTTGTTTTTGCATGGAGTTAGACCTATTAAAGATTGTCTAATTTTAAATTGGCTGTATACATTAATAATGCAGTTAACCCGAAAGCTGCAGTTTTCTGCATATTTTAAATAACTTTAAAATATGAATCTCAAGAATGTACCTTCAACTAACTTCAATCTTCATGATCAATCGAAGTACTAGATTGTTGTAGAGGTAACAGCTTTCATTCTTCTTTGATACTAATATAATATATGCTTACAATTATTGAACCTCTTTGGCTATAAGCATTAAGCGCATCTAACTATTCCTAGACTATCTTCATATATACATCACATTATTTTAAGGTTATAAAACGCCACAATATTTAGGAGTCACTAGTAAATTTTATAGCAGTCGATGATAGTCCATTTCCACAGTTATTTGTTATCAATATCTATATCAAATACGAAACCCAACTGTCTAGCTAAGCCTAAGGATAAGAGAGTGTGGGCGCTTCAATATCTAAATGGTCAGTAGGATTTCATATTACATCAATGTCTGTAGCCTAGATAATAGATAAAAGAAAGGGTTCTTATTTTGTACGTGAACTTAAAAAACGACAGTAAGATTTTGAATAGTTAAGGATTTTAATAGTACCACTTTGTTTGTTTATATATCTTTAAAATACCGTAACTAAATAAGTTAAATGTCGAACTCTTCTAAAATGGCCATTTAACAAAGATATTTTTGTCTAATTTTTTTTTTGGAAAGAATGAATATTAACTGCTCAAACAAAAAATACAAATAAATGTGAATGTCTGTTCCAATAGCTACTAAATTGCACATTTACTAATTTTAATTTAATTTTCTTTTCTTTGAAAGATAACCTAATTAAAAGTGTTCCTCTTATATTATAATTTAAGAAAACAGTTGTTCAGTCGTTCAGGGAGCTCTTTTCTAATCATTGAGAAGATTTTTAAATCGTCTTATTTTTAACAAAACTAAATTCTTGAATATTTATTTTGTGTTGTGGTGTGTCATATTTTTGTTACTAATATATGATAAATAAATAGACTAATCAATCAATGTATCAAAATAAAAATGAAGATTCATCTTCAGCACGTATCTGGTGTCAAAAATTCCATATAAGAATACGATTTTGCAACATGAAAACATTAACATTACTTTTTGTATCATTCGTTCCTATATATTTTTTTAACAATGCTTAATATTTGTAGGAAAAACATAAAACATACCTAGTTATATCAAAGTTTGCGAATTTAGGAAAAGCACATGAAAGAAAAATTATAAAACTTTTGAAATGTACGTTCTTATCGATTTTGACTTACCGTCTCCACAAGGAGGACCCGTATACCGTGTTACGCCAGTAGTTGCACAAGGCAGACGTTCTTCTTCTTGGTTTATAACACATTTAGCAGTATCAGCTCCATATAAAGATAAAGGATTTCCATTGACGAAGACCTGTTGCACGGCTCCTATTAAACTGCTGGTCACGCCGGACATCTTATGAGGGCGAATGTACGAGCTGAAGTAAAAATTATGAGATGAAAAAATTGGTCAAGGGTCCGAATACTTATGATGTTGAGTCGATGACTCCTATCGATGTCGATGATACCTACTATATAATACTAGTTGAATATAAAATACTTCAACATCATATAATATATCAATTAATAGGAAAAAATATTTGTTCTTGTTAACATATATGTACATTAGAGTTTTCAAACGGTATATACGAATAACTTGTAGCGAAAGCATATAATAATATCAAATAAATTGTATTATATACAATTTTGCTATAGTATGTATATAAATATGAATAAATAAAGTTGTTTTGTTGTACGAAAGCGGTAATCGATATATCTATGAAGATAAATAAATCTGACCCTCTAGTATTAGACTGCCTTAATATATGTATTTAAACGAGTATAAAGAATTTCATTATTATACTTACGATGGTCATATACTTACGGTAAGGAACCAATAAAGAGAGGTAGCATAAGGTCTAGGTGAGTTAGCGGAGGTGCTGAATGTCCCCTTTGCGTAGGATGATGGTCTAACTGGAGGCTACCGTGACGACCTGATCTAGACACACGAGCTCTATGCCAACGACCCTTTGTGATAGGCACAGGAGAACTATAAAAAAACAGACATAAATCCAAAACTTAATTCCAAGTATTCAAACAACGTTACTCGGATTTCGAAACGAAGAGAAGGTACTTACGTTATATTGGCTATACCGCTTCCTAAATTGTACCTAAATTGAAGGTAGCCGTTAACCAGGTTAATCGCTATGAAATCCCCCTTGGCTTTATTAGACTGGCCCGTGTAAAGAATCATTCCAGAAAATCGGTTCGTTAAAAACCAAATTTCAATGCGGAACGCTTTCCCAAGCCCTTCGAGTGGCGGCAATTCAAGGTAGCTCGTTCCATTAAACTGAGGGGACCACGTTTCTTCTACTACATTTACATCTGCAAATAAATTAGTAATGTAACTATTTGTTTTCGAGTAATAAGCCTAAAATTTGTTGGGTACATCTAACCACTGACCATTGTTGCAAGTATTTCCATTGGAACCAATTTCACCTCCAAACAAACAACGGCAAACGTGTCCACCGTCCGGTCCGATGTCACACAATAGCCCTTCATCATATCCACAGGGATTTGACTCGCACGGATCTAATCGCTCTTCACAATTGGTTCCTTGAAATCCGATAGGGCAGCTACATGTATATTCGGTTGTCGAACCCTCTATTGATTTACACGTGGCACCATTCTTGCACGGCATACTCATACATGGGTTGGATTGGCATTCCTGAACATTTTCTATACCAACAACTAATGAGTCCGGTCGGCCCAATTTCTTTGTAACTTGATGACGTATTATTCTTAAATATTTTACACATCCGATAAAACCGTTCCGCGTGCCGATGTTGTCGAAAACCCTAGATAGCAACATTTTTTAATTTATATATATGATAAAACAATACACAATAACTATAAAACAGTTAGTATGAAAGGTTTATTTACCGTGAAAAGTTGGTCGGTACGCTGCCTATATAGGCATCGTCGCTAAGATCTAGTGCTTTTAAATAGCCACTAGATTGGCCCACCACGTCTTCCATGTCATCTACAGATAAAATCCCGTCCCGGTGGTATCGTTTAGCTGACACCTTGTGGTACTCGTTTAGTGTTATCTTTTCTAGAGAGGTCAGTATTAAGACTCCATTTCCAAGATTGTATCTGTGTCGAGATTACAGCCCCATATTAGACAACGTGTATTAAATTTAAAATTAAACAATTTTGAATAAAATATTGCTCACCTAAACTCTAAATATCCGTTCACTAAAGCGAGAGAAACAAAGTCACCGGTCCCGTCAGGTTTCTGCTGATTGTACAATATAACGCCATTTTCAGTAAAGGCTTTAAATTCAATATCGATATTCAACTTGTGGTAAGCTTTCAACGGTTTTAAGCGTATGTAAGAAGTGCCGTCGAAGGAAGGTGTTTCAATATAGGGACCCAATAGTGACTCTTTTGCTAGAGATTCGCAATTTAATCCAGTGTAAGGGCCTGCACATAAACAGGTGTACGTGGAGCCAGGCAAATCAATACATGTGCCGAGATTGTAACATGGCTCTGACAAACAGGCGCTATATTCCTCTGTCGTCTCTTGGGGCGTTTGTTCTGGCGGGAAAAAAATATTGCAGTTAAGCGATGTGTGTGTGTGATGAATTATGTACAACTATTTGAAAATATTTCAGAATGAGTAACTTGTTAACAGACTCCAAAAAAGGAGGAGGTTCTTAATTCGTCGTCATCTTTTTTTTGTAACTAATTTGTAAAAGTCTTTTTTAGAACCAGATTAGTGTTCTAAACATATTAATTGTTATTATGTATTCTGTATCAAAACAGTTTACCGATTTTCCTAATATTTTACTTCCAGGTACCTGTCTGTATAAGGAGTAACTAAGGCTATTTTTCCTCTCAGAAAAATCCTATAAACATTTTCTCGGTCCGTAAATCAAACCCGAGGCCTCATGGACTGCAGTCGCGTACCATACTAAGGTTTTCAAATTCCACGCGAACGAAGTCACGGGTACCAGCTAGTGACAAATATGTTCAGTTCTCTCTCTCTTACTTTTTAGTACAATATTCCTAATATAAGGTAATTTCACTCTTAGGTAAATATTATTTCATTGTAGCCATTCAAACATGTTTGAATGCGTCCGTCAAGCGTCATTCATCTGATTATGTGAGCTAATCGACTAATAGTCGTCATTCACAGAGAGTTTGCTTTCAAACGATTTACTTAGATAAGCTTTCATGTTTTCATGCTTCGGCATAAATATGATGGTTTCCAAACCATTGCATCGATATTAGTACCTTCTAAGGTTTCACCAATTTACATTTTTATGTCACTTACTTATTGTTATATCCTAACATATTATGTACATCATAATTACCTGTATTCTAACTTATATGACAAATGCACTCATTTTTAGTGGTAGGTGTCATTGGGTACATTTTATCTAGAAAAAATAATACTATCAATAAAAACGCGGGGGAAGCTTCGGGTAAAAACTAGTCTCCGATATCACTTTTTACATTGTTTTTATATTAAAAAATAAATTATTCTAATAAATTAGAGTATTTCGGTTGTGGAAAACACTGTTTACTCTTAACTTTTACGTTAGTAAAAGTCAGAAACTATTAATTTATTATTCAAATATTGAAGCAATTGTAATAACTATAGAACGGGTTATGTAGCTAAAAAGAGTTCTAGAAGTAACTTACCAATACACGCCTTTCGATGTAACGTAGGTACATGTCCAGGGCGGCAGACGCAAGCTGCCCGGGCACATTCAGCGCCCGGCAGAGCGGCACAGTCAGAATCGTCACTACAAAGATCTCCGAGCAATGCGCCCACTGCACCTGATGCACCCCTTGACCCAACTGTAGCTGTTGTTGCTATAACAAAGTAGTTCCATCGTCCCTACATTTTTATATAAAATTTAAGGTTGACGTAAAGTTTTAAAAATATTGTAATGTTTATACATAACATATTATGTTGTATACATAATATAAACATTACATTATTTTTCAACCTGAGATGGTTCACCTACTTTTTCCATCAATTACTGTACTTATATTATAATATACCAATAATTGAAAAAAACTCACACTGGTCTTGTAAGATTTTTCATATTCGTTGATACCACTTGTAAATACAAATCTTTTGAGTAACATATTTTTGAGACACAGTTTACGTTTTTATAAAAACCAAGTCAAGTCAACGTGTAAAAAAACAGGTGTATCGTACAACTTTTAAGTGCTGGTTATTTATTTAAGGTTCACTAAAAAAACTTTCTAGAACATTAAAAGCGAGGTGTTGAAAAGAAAATATATTTATAAACGTATACATACACATTGTTTGCATTCTTTATCTTAATTTAAACTATTGTAGATTACTCTGTTTTATTAAATTAACTCTGTAACGGACGCAATGCAAAAATAAAATCAAATATTGACTATTCAATATTGGCACAATAACACATACATAAACAAGAAAAAAAGGTAGATACTCTTTTAAAATTGTTTGTGTGCAAACATTTTCAATAAAACGTTTAGTTGTAAGGGATATATGTGTATGAACCGTAAATAGCTTACCTTTGAACTTTTGGCCGGAGAGTATGCTGTCGAAATCACTGGGTGTTTCTTTTCTAGTCCAATCATATTTATTGTAGTATTTATCGGGGTTTAATAGATGTCTCGTTGATTTAGATGCAGCTCCGTCATCTTGTTGTGTAAATTGTATAGGCGACGAGGGTCTTGGTGGACCGGCGGTACCCGCTACTTCGCCTAGTTTACAAGGCCCAAACGCTTGAACTACAATATCTTCTTGTGTACGACATGCTTGAAGTTTTAAATGACATTCGGACTCGTAAGTTTTTCCGTCGCTACCGCATACCTAGTGGATTACTTATCAATTAACAAAAAGTTATAATTAAACAAATATGATAATAATTAAAAATTTATTATAATTTAAATAAATGTCTATTAACTTGGTGGTATTGACGATTTATCTACGTACTACTATCTACTAATCCTTTATTGTGCAACGAAAGTTCTCGCAATGATTAGTATATTGAAAATTCATAACATAATTCATTGGGCCCCGATTTACCAGGCGTAGTCACATCACTTGGTCGGAGGATCCGCCCTCCCTTTATGTCGGGAGGGACAAAACATCCGATAAGTGTTACACATACTGTTATTCTTGTTAATTCATTTAGCTGATTTAAACGATTGTGTGGCACTGAGTTTACGTGGAAGAGTGGGAATCTGGTCCATTTAACGAAGCCGGGTTCGCCACAGGCGAATCGTACTGCTTGACGAGGTGGTTAAATCGTTTGAGAGAGGATTCTCTACCCGCATCTTTCAACTCCTGGACCAGGTCAATCTCGATTTTTCGGGAGTCTTAATTTTGAGCGGAGCGTTAGTCGGTTGGGGCTTTGGTGTGCTTGAAAGCCGTGACCGAAGGGGTTGTGGCTTAGCGTTGATTGAATACATATTTCTTTAATTGAAGATTCGTAGCCATAACTGTTCTGTTAACGACGCTTAAATTATATTTTACCGACAGTTTTTATTAAAACCTTTTTATTAATATACTAATTACTTTAAATTTATTTCTTCAAAATATACTGCTACATGTAATATTTATTGGTATCAAAGAAATAAAATCATGTCCTATGCATAGCGTCTTTATACCTAAAAGCTTCACTCACCAACATATTAGTGTCGCTGTCTGAGCATGGGGCCGCCGCACATTCACAGAGAGCACCACCAGTGCGTTCCGTACAAACGGCGCCGAAGTAACAGGACAACTCAGTACACGAAGATACCACGCCACCGAGTTCAGCTGTATTATAAATCATTAATTAATAATAAATATAATAATAATAATAATAATATAATTATAAATATAGAATCGGGTCAACTTAAGTCAGCATAATATTTATTAATTCACATGTTAATTTTCCTTATCTCGTATTACAAAACATTTCAAATAAATATTTTCTCCATTAGAAATATTTTACTTAGTATCTGAATTCCATATCGCTAAACATCAACAGAGCAATAAATATCACGATCTTGAATCACGATCGCAATAAAATATCGTGCGTGTAAAGTGCCCCCTTGGAAGTTGATATTTAGCTCACTAACAACTGAAAGTCGACCCATTTTACTATTTGTATATTCGAGTTCATTCTGAATGTTTACCTTCGTTCCCTAGTAAACATTCTATTGCAAAATGCTAGGAGCTTTATTAAACTCAAATCCTTTTGTGAAAAAGAAAAACAGTGAGAAAATTAAATACATTCACGAATTTAGAGGCAAAGGACTGACCTAACTCCGTACATAAAGAAAAGCGGTTAATACAAAAACATCGTGACATGGGTAAGGCATAGCATTGTTGTAAGTACCTTTGTAATGAGAACCCTAAATCACGATATAAGAGTGGATTTTTCTTTTTTAAAGAAAATAAGTCTTACGGTCGGAACACCCGTTGGGTCCTAATCTGCGTCTATGGTCCGCACACACGGTACACTTTTGTCCTTGAACGCCTGTTCGGCACACACATCTTCCAGTCATTTGCTCACAATCTTCTCGGACCGAACCAAATGCCGAACAACCGCAGGCTAAAACGTTTCGAAAACATTAATTGCCAAAATTTCTAGTCTACTCACAGTAGAGTAAGTACGAGTAGATAAAAATGTATGAAAAAATATGCGTTGTTATAAATTGCATACAGAATAAAAATTCAAATTCCCATTGCATTTTTAAGGTGGGTAAAATGTTTACATCAATATTAATAATAAATTAGGACATTTTCATTTAACTACAACTGATAAAGATTAATTACATAAAGGAAAACAAGGTATACATACGAATACATCCCGTGTGACCGGAACCGATCCTCGGTAGACCCCAATAGCCGGGTTCGCACCGGTCGCACTTGAGGCCACCTACGCCGGGACGACAAGCACACTGTCCTTCCTCATCACATCGATCGGAAACTGAACCGAGCCGATTGCAACCGCAGGTAGAACTTGTGATTGGACACCCTTCCTCATTAGGTCCTGACGCTGTGGTCGACCCGTCAGAACAACACCCGTACGCTGACTCGGAACAGTGAGATATCTTCTTTTCTTCGGTTAATTTTGAATCGTCTACACAATAATGAATTATCCAAGTTATTACCCAAGTTCAGATTGCATGCACGGCACCCAAGTGAATAAAATACTATATTTTATAAGAATGGGACAAAGGATCCGTACAAGGATCCGTACCGACAACGGCTAGCGTGATTCTATCCAATTTACTGCTGGTGCCGTGTACCGTTAGTATCTTCACCCTGACAAATCACCAGTTAGATATCATATTGTATGCATGAAAGCAGTACCAGTGAAATTGGTCGCTAAATAAAATATAACCTTTTGCAAATTACATATCTGATTTTAATTAAAAGATTAATTGTAACTGTGCAAATAACCAAAGTCAACTAAAAGGAGTATTTGTTTGCCACAAATATAATAACAACATCTGTAGAATTTCTACGAAGGGAGTTATTGTATAGTTTAGTTGTTAAATGTTACAGAATTGAGCCAAATGGATAGTGTACTCAATTAGTGTAATGGACAGTTCGTGAGTACCAGCGTGTTGTAATTCATTTCTGTAAAAGTGACGATGGTTTCAGAATATTATAATTATAAAATTAAAACTAGTAGATTAATGATATACAACTTTTGATTAGTAAAATTAAATGTTATTTAACTAACACGGTTATTATTATTTAATTTTATTTTCAGTAAAGTGAAAATCCTGATAAAAATATCATAGTAATTCATTGTCACTCAACTGTTAAGTTAGGTTTTTTGTTTTTGCAATAAGCCACTTCGAAATTGCATTACGTTCTTGGTTGCTATTTTAATATTTAATTCAATACTATAACTATCTTTTTGATAGTGGTCATTTATTTGCCTTTGCTCACGTGTGTTTGATTTGGTTTTAGGTAAATTTTAACTAAACAATTTGATGGAATCTACTTATATTTAAAAAAACGATATTTTTATACTCAATTTATATAAATAATATTTTAAAGTGCTTAATATCTTTAACGTCTAACTCTAACTATAAAATATTTGTTTGGCAAATGTACATATATGTGAATTCATATACTCACTCTTAGGACAGCACCTAGCTGCAGTTAATGTAATATGACAGTAGCTTCCAGCAGGACAGTCCTGTCGGTGTGGTCCGTTACCACAATCTATTTCAAGCCCAGTAGCAAGATCAACCATAGCTTTACTGTTACCACATGGTCGTACCTCCATACCTGTGGTGACAACATTTCATTTTCAAAATTATTGATGACATTAAAGGCCATTTACATTTAAAACTGTCAAAAGTTAGTTAATGTTAGTACTTAAGAACAAACCTTTACATAAATCCAAAGGCCGCAGTCTTAATTCAAGCTGTTTTTGACATCCCTCTTTGCGCATAGCACAGAGGCTAGGATAAAGTTTGAAATCAGAAGCACAGACGGGAAAGTATTCATTGTCATGCGGACACTCGAAAAGGCAGGAGCAACGAGGGTATCCATCAGAGCCGACTTCACAGCTAGCGCCGAAGTCGCACCGTATATCCCGACAAGCACTTGGATTGGCAGTCCCCTCTTGGTTCGTTGCACCCCAAGAATCCGTCGACCCTTCTTCCTCCTCGGTTGTGGTCATCGCGGTCGTACCTACCCACCCCATCCAAATATTTGCGTGTTAGTCAAGCGATAAAGCGGAAGGTTAGTTAATTGTTTGGGGAGGGGTCGGTATGTTGAAATTACTGCTAACAACTACGCTGATGATGGACCGGCGATGGTTCTATCATAAATATTTTCTACTTGTTAAAGTACATGAAAGTAAATACAAAATACATTTTTAGTTGTTAGTACTGTTAAATTTAATTAAGGGGTGATATTAATAACTAAATAATATATGTAAGTTACTCACTCATGGCAATCGGTGGTACGACAGCTAATCTGTCCTTGCAATCTCCATAAAATATGACATGTAAAGTGGCTGGCGGCGATAATCTACAAGCTGCTTTTTGAAGTTCGCATTCGTTTGGGAAAGTTTGCATAGTGCTGCCACAAACTGGTTCATGAGGTGCTCCGGTACAGTCAGTGGGACAAATACATTCACCAGCGGCACAATGGGCGCCATAAGTGCATTGGACGCCCTCGCATAAAGCTGTTAAAAAAATATCTCGTAAATATTTATGATCCGATAAAGTAAACCGATGCCTTTAGTTACAAAAATTCAACTATTTTTTCTTAAAAATTTGAGACTAAACTTATCAAACAAGCGAGTTAGAGATTATTTTGACTAGACTATTTAGACATAGTCAGTCATAAACACATAAGATATTGAAATATCATCACATCAAAAACAATATTTATTAAAAAAAAAAGTTGAACACTAATTACAAGAGGGGTGCAAAAATACTAACAAAGTTTTATTTCGTCTGCAATGACAAGGTTGCGACATTGTAAGCACCCCGGCCCGGCTGAAGTTTACCAAGAAACGCATGGCTGAACTGATAATGTCATTACGTTGGACAATTGTGTGCTTCCTATTGTACTTTCTCATTCTTTCTTTAGGGAAAAATTAGTCGTACTCGTTCTCTCATTGAGGGATGAGGGTAAACACCCGTGCAAATTTAATAACGATTGTTTACCACTTCCCCGCAAAATGAAAGTCTTGTGAAAGTGGTCGATTAATGCTGGACGGAAAATGTAAGATGTTTTGTGATAAAATTTTAAAGTAAGAGTGGACATAACAATATCCGGCTGAAAGCTTTTGCAAACTCGTTTTATTATATTTTACAAGAACCCGCCGATTAATAGTCTATGTAGGTAAGTGGGCATTAAAACTTTATGTAACACTTCATGAGGCATAGTTCGCACTTTGATTGCTTTGCTGTGTACTTAACAGTGAATTTTTAATGACATTTCAGCACATTATAAACTGTGTGATGTCATAAATATGCTAATGTGTATTATAATTGAGGTTCAGTACTGAATTATAAAATTATAATGTTAACTATGAGTATGTTAAATACTTAATTAAAGTTGTACACTGCGCCCGGAGTCCCAACTTTTTATTTGTCAGTAACCATTCTAAGTGTTGAAAAATTATCATTTGTTTCGGTTACTCTTAATTCGAATAAAATATTTTTCAATGAAAATATGGTTAACAAGCACAAAAACACAAAGTATCATCTTTGCAGTAACGTGCATTCAATTACAGTATTCAAAACTTTTTTTGGGAACTAATATAATTTAAAAGCTGTTTAAGTGCCAATTACTTTTTTCTATACAAAATACAGTGGTAAAAAGTTGATTTAAGAAAGTCCTGCAGGTGTCGCAGAAAGAGGAAATATATCAGTTGTTATTATATTATTGGTTTTTTTAGAAAAAAAAAAGATATAACGTTAATCAATATGCTATATTGTTTATAATATACTCGCTATAATAGAGTAGGTATTCTGCCAATCCTCGCTGTGGCACATTGTGGTAGTATTGATGAGAACTGAGAAACAAAACTGAGGCGAAAAATAAATTAAAACAATCTTTGAAGGGGTGTGTATATCGTGGCAAAATTTGAGCTCAATCGGTGAGGAAGTGTTTGAGTTTTTGAAGCGAACAAAAGCAACTTAACTTTTTATGTATATTGTACATAAGTTTACAATGTTTATATAATAGTAGCAATATATGTAGTATTTTGTACAATAAAACAAAATAACGAATGAATGCATTCTGTATATTTACGATCAAAATGTTTGGACATTCACAGTCACTGAATCCAAACCTACCTACCAAATATTTAAAAAGGATATTTCCAATTTGTGCTTACGGATTCGTTCTTAATAAAATATACTATACCTCTTTCGTCGACCTCTTTCACTATTCGTATTTTGATAAGTTTTATTTTACAATTGTCGTGGATTAATACAGGTTCCTGTATTATTTTTTCCCGTTATAATGAACCAATCACATAAGTACGTCTTTTGTATATGATATGAGGTAATAATATTATATTTAAATAAAAACAAATAAACGTATAATTTCCTTTTAAGTACTAAAATTTTAATACATTTTTTATAAACCCAGCAGGTTGTAAACCCAGACCTAGATATTGCCCATTTTCTGTTTATTTTGCGACAATGTTTAGGTAAGTTATGTGCCAGATAATATAAAGAGCAAATAATCAGAAAGATGAGATTAGAGTACATATTTTGATTATCAAAGGAACTCAACTCTGACGCGTTTCACTGTTGAACTCTTTATCGGAGAAAATGAGATAAATCTTTGAAAGTTTACTAAATTTTTTGTTTAATTTTAGCTTCTCTATCTAGATATGTACTTAAAACTTGTAGCATTTATAAGAAATACGAACAATAAACGATATCAATATATAGACTTCTAGAACAATTAAAAAAAAATATTATATAGTATCTGGAAATGTTGCAACTGCATGAAATGAACTGAATGTAACAGTATTATCATTCATCATTAATCACGATTCCGTCGACTTTCATTGTATTATATTATGTATCCCATACGGAAATACGCTACACCGAGACCCTTTGTTTGAAAATGTGTTATATTGAATTATTTACGAAACGTGGAAAAATATAAAAATATATGTCCTCCACGAGCTTTAAAAATGTTACTACAGACCAACAAACCGAATCCAATGTGGTTTTAATTCGAAACGATTCGATATAAATATGGAATAAGATCCGGGATATTTGTTCAGTAAGCTCTCGTATGGACAGATCTACTACAGATGATAATAAAATTTAATATATTTGTTATGCCATTACTACTTATCTTGCTAAATTTGTAAACGAAAGTTTGGGTGAATGTTTGTCACTATTAAGTGAATTACATCCTAGAACAGTTGAACGGATCTGAATGAAATTGGGCATAGTGATAGATTGTGTGCTGCAATATCACGAAAAAATTGAGCTTGTTTTATTATTATACTAAACTCTGCAAATCAAAGGTATAAAAACATTATAAGTATACTTGAAATTCTGAATGATTAATTTATTAATTCGTTTTTTTTTTAAGTGAAAACTTCTTTAGCAGCGTTGTGCACTTTTTTTGTAATGGGTAAAAAATGATAAACTCGCGCCAGGACAAGTGACCCTGATCGAAAATTCGTAAGACCGATGGAGAGTAGACAGCCGGCGCATCGTAGGAGAGGAAGTATCCCCCTCTCTTTCTACGGCGTAAATGGTGAAAACGGCGAAAATGTATGCCTGCGCCTGCTGTTTCGTTTAGGCGGCGCAGGGCGCTTGCGCGAATGTTAGTTTTTCTGAAAGATAAACTTAAACTTACTTACTTTTTTTTAATGTAATATAAATTGACATGTTTGTGTACGACAGCGCAATAAAATAAATATTGTATTCTACCACATAAATGATAGTACTTTTATACTGATAATTAAAGCAATTCGTGCAAAATTATTCCCTAACCATTCCAAAATATCAAAAATGCACAACGTTAATATTCAAGTTTTCACTTCTGCCGGCACTCCCGAAGTGCAACCCGTCGTTTTTTTATTAATTAGAAATTCTGAAATATTAATTCATAAACTAAAATGTAGATATATCTAATATGGAAATCTATACAACGAAAGTACAGCAAAAACTCGGCTCGTATAGTTAAACGGGCGTAAGAGTTAGTACGAGTATATTGTATTTTTTAAAAGATCGCTCACAGTTTCCATAAACACGGACGAAATTTTACCTGTCGCGGGTTTTTTGTAAGTACTTTTCAGACAAGATTAGAACTTTCCAACCTCTATTGGACTTGCTTTTAGTCTGAGAGCTACTTACGGGTATAATCTTTTAAATCTAAATATATAATATACATTCATAACAAAAACATATAATATACATATATAATATACAAAGTTATTCAAATATTGTTAAATGTACATATAGATTTATAAATATAAATAAAAAAAAAATGAATATACGAGTATATGGATTAGTTAAATTTATGTATGATAATTATAACTATTTCATAGGCTAAGTTCTTATTTATTTCTCGGACTTTTATATAAAAGTTATAGTGATATGTAAATAGGTATATAACTATCACCAGTTTAAAATTAATCCAGTCCATCCAAAGGTTGCTTGGAAGAAGTTGCTCTAAGTAATAAGGTCGCTCTTTGTACATTACATTTGCTATACGTGTACGTGTTTAATTACTTTATAATGTCTATAAAACTCTGGTGTGCAAATAAACTATTTTCTATCTATCTATTATTATTGAAATTATTATACAATAAACACTTTGACTCATCATCATCATCAACAGCCTATACTAGTCCACTGCTGGACATAGGCCTCTCCTTAGAAAGGAGGTTTTGGCCTACTATACCACGCTGGCCAGACGGGTTGGTATAGGGTTTCTGAGCGTTGGAAATGCGGGAAGCTGGTCCTGCTGCAGAAGCCGGGACGGCCTGCCGATTCGGTCGCGGCCTATAGGCCCATCGTGCTGCTGGACGAGGCGGGCAAATTGTTTGAGAGGGTTCTTTCTGCCCGCATCGTCCGGCACCTCTGCGAGGTGGGCCCCGATCTGTCGGACGCCCAATTTGGTTTTCGGGCGGGGCGTTCGACAGTCGACGCCGTGTTGCGCCTGAGGGCCGTGACCGAGGAGGCCGTGAGCTGTGGCGGCGTGCTGTTGGCGGTGTCATTAGACATCGCCAACGCATTCAATAGTCTGCCATTCAGCTGCATCAGGGAAGCACTCCACTATCATGGGGTGCCAAAGTACCTGAGGCGGCTAGTGGCAGACTATTTAGAGGAGCGTACCGTCGTGTACGAGGACCGAGAAGGTAATCTGAGGTGTCGGCCCATGTCGTGCGGTGTTCCACAGGGGTCTGTTCTTGGACCCCTCTTGTGGAACATAGGGTACGACTGGGCCCTTCGCGCCGATTTCCCCCCCGGGCTGGGTGTAATCTGTTACGCAGACGATACCCTCGTGACAGCCCGGGGGGCAAACTTCCAAGAGGCGGCGCGCCTGGCCACAGGGGGAGTCTCCCTGGTGGTCGGGCGCATTGAGGCGCTGGGCTTACGGGTGGCCCTAGATAAGACGGAGGCCCTGTTATTCCATGGGCCCCGTCGTGGTCCACCCCCTGGCGCCTCAATCGTGGTCAACTCGGTCCTCGTACCGGTTCGGGCCCAGATGAAATATCTGGGCCTGATCCTCGACGGGAGGTGGCTCTTCGACGAGCACTTCCGACAGCTTGCTCCAAAGCTGGTCGGCGCTGCGTCTGCCCTAGGGCGACTCTTGCCCAATATGGGTGGACCCAGCGTCGCGACAAGACGGCTGTACACGGGGGTTGTCCGGTCAATGGCACTGTACGGTGCACCGGTGTGGGCGGCGGCTCTGACCGCCCAGAATAGGGTACGCCTCTGGCGCCCTCAGAGGGTAATGGCGGTCAGAGCCATACGCGGTTACCGCACCGTTTCTACGGAGGTGGCGTGCGCGTTGGCCGGAACTCCCCCGTGGGATTTGGAGGCGGAAGTGCTCGCCGAGGTTTATCGGCGAGTGGCTGACTCCCGGGCGGAGAGCGGATTTCGCCCTCCGCCCGAGGATGTGCGCGAGTGGCGCGAAGCCGCTCGCCGAGCCACGATGGCTCGTTGGTCGTTCCGGCTGGAGACTCCACGCGCTGGCTTCGCCGCCGTGGAGGCTCTCCAGCCGGTCATCGCCGAGTGGGCAGGGCGGCAGCACGGGACCCTTTCCTTCCGACTGACGCAGGTGCTTTCCGGGCACGGTTGCTTCGGAAAGTACCTGCACACGGTCGCTAGGAGGGAACTGAGTCCCGCCTGCCACCACTGCGACTGCAGTGAGGACTCGGCCCAGCACACGCTGGCGGTCTGCCCCGCATGGGCGGCGCAGCGCCGGGCCCTCACTGCAGTCATCGGAGTGGATCTCTCGCTACCGGCCGTAGTACGCTCCATGGCCGGTAGCGACAGTTGTTTTACCGCGGTCGCAACCTTCTGCGAGGTAGTAATCTCGCGGAAGGAGGCGGCGGAGAGGGCCCGGGAGGACGACCTCCACTCGGACCCGATCCGCCGCCGGCGAACCGGGCGGCGGAGGCCCGCCTACCACAGCCTCATGCCGCCCTGAGTGTGGCCGCGGGTGGACGGGGTGGGTTTCCCCTCCACCCGCATTAGTTTGGCCAGCCGCGAGGGGGCGGCGTCCGCGTGTGCCGGACGTCGCCTAAAGAGAGGAACATCTACAATGAGACGGAGCCCGCACCATGAGCGGGCTGGCGCTAGGAGGGGTCCGGATGTCTTAACAACAGCTGTTCCCGGATCCCTCCTGTTACAGGCGCAGAGTGGCACACCGTGTGGTTTTAGTCGGTCCGAGTCCGACACACCACCCCGCCGCAAACCCCGGAGGGGTGACGGTCCGAGGGGATTTCCACACGTTAAAAAAAAAAAAAAAAAAAAAAAAGGGTTTGTTTCAAGTTTTCCTTCTCTTTTCAGTGATATACGACACCCACGGGATGAATTGGGGTGGTGACAATTTGTATTCTTAATCCGTCACCACACGGACTAACACTTTGACTAATTTAAGTTTATTCCTTTCATGATTTCGGGTATTATTAATTAACAATTTTATATTATAATAGACTCTATAGTAGATTAAACTTTTTCTAGAACCAGTTCAGTTCTATAAGATAAGGTTTAAAAAACGTTAATTATTTTCATATACATATACGTGACTAATGGGTTTAATCTTATTTTTGAGGATTCTTAATTTAAAGACAATACAAAAAATGATTCGGCAAAAATAAATGTAATATTTTATCATTTTAATATAACAAAATCGAGATCATAAATATGAAACCAGAACGATAAAATAATGTCAATCGGCTTGCAACAATTACAGAGATATCATTACAATCGTAAACATTTATATTTATGATATGTGTTTAAGTATGTTCTGAATTTGAATGCAGATGTCAATATCATCATTTAACTACAAGAAATGTGTTAACGTATGTATATATTTCAATTTCCGTAAATTTATTTTTACAAAGGTGGATATGCTAAATACATTATTCTGGGGCATTCTCTAAAAGTAAACCTTATGTATGTTCTTTTCTTTAGTTTTTTTTTTTCTAGTATACGAATAATTGAAAATGCTGTGACCAGCCTTATATATTAAAAAAAAGAAAAACTGTATCTAGTCTAATGCTTTACTTTAAACACCTACACAGATGTTATTCCGTAAGTACAATATGACTGTATACTACTGGTAGTATTCACTACAAACATTAGTGGTATAAGATTGCTATTTTACGAATCATATGTTATTGCATATTGAATAAAAAAAACAGACAGATTTTTTGTCAAGCGTTGGAAATCACTTTTCTCAAGTTCTACTCAAATGTGATTTCCTCCTGTACTCTATTTATTTGTTGTCATAGCTGTCTTTCTCTATATCTTTGGTTCTAATTGAGGTGCAAGGTTCGTTTTAACCTAACTAGCCTAACTCGAACTTGCTGGAACGTATTATAATTTCAACTTTTGCTCATTTATTTGGTTGAGTTTGAAGCTAGGTGTGAACATTGAAATAAAGCTCAGTTTAGCGGCAGCGTCGGTCCTCTTGTATATTTAAATTTAATTTAAAATTATACATAGTTGTATTCAATAAGATGTCTACTCTCAATTGCAAGACTAAAAAGTAAGCTACCTAAACGTCGAGGAACTAATTTGCCGAGGAAAGAATAAATTTGCACTTTGCACGAGTGCAAAAATGTTTGATTTTTGCACCCATGCAAAGCCGCAGCGGGTCACTAGTATTATATATTTTAAACCACCTCTCCGGCACGGGGACAATCGTAATCGACGTCAAAGTCAGAAGTCACAGGTTCGCTTATTACTGGGGTGCGGGTCGGGGAACCTCCACCCACGTGAAAAAAAAAACAAGGTTTGCTTATTACTGTGCATTTTTTGTACGTATGAATTATCACAGAAAATTTAGTTATGTACAAAAAGTATTTATGATGATGAAACCTATTGACCGTATTCCAGAAGCGATGCTTAAATTGTATATACATATACATTGTACTGTTTAAACTGTTCAAGAACATTTTAGTTACTTAAAGAAACATAATAAAATATACAAGATGTTCTCACCTTGTGTTACAACATAATAAGAGATTGGATAAGATATTTAACTATATCGCAAAATGTTGTGAGCTGTATCACACGAATGTTTTCCTATTGAAAATGGTTAATAGAATTTAGTTAATATCCTGGCACGTTAGAAATATTCGCAGAACTTTAAAATTCTAAATTTAAATCCTAGTATAGTCACAAGTATATAGCAGTTTACTAGCATACAACACTACTGGTGTTAAACTTCTCAATTACATTCTTTCGCACATAGTTATTGCAACCGTTATGTGAAGATAACTGCTGTTCTGAGTAACAGTAGTGTCGTAAAATTAAAACAATTTATTTACAAAATTGAACTCACCGCAATCACCTTTGTAGGCAAGCCACAAATCACCTTGGTCGCGACATGCTGTCGAGTCCAGTTCACACTGCGACGGATAGGTTTGACCATCACTCCCGCATACCACTTCTGATTCCTGTCAACAACCAACCCGTGAATTTGTGATACCCTGAAATATCCCTTTGAAAAGCTGTACAGTTTATTTTATATTTAGTACCCCTATTTTCAAGTGACAAACAATGTCATTTTTATTAAAAATGTAGCAAGAATCGATTTAATAGGCAATGCATGATATGTTACTTCCAATGTGATTGGATTTCAGAAATTTAAACGTTTTAATTTTAAAGGCATGATATAAAAATGATTAAAACTTTTAAGTTTTATGATTACTTTATTCTGACTGATAGTGAAATGGTATATAAACAAATAAATGATAATTAATAGTTTCGTAAACACTTTAAGTTGTGCGGTGACAAAGTATACACCTATGACTAAAACAAATTTCTTTAATTCTTCTGATTCCTTTTATAAATAAATGTTTAATATTGATTTGATATATTATTATACTCGCATCTAAATATAATAAATAAAATATCCATTTAAGGATATTATCTCCTATCGCATCATCTACCTAATCTTTCTCAACTGCATTTTATTAGTTGGCGCATTATGTTCGTCATTTATCTGCGTGCTCCCTTTCTAGCCGTATTTTCTTTTATTTTTCTTATCATGTTTAAGTTCATAAGATAATACAGATTATTGTTAAAAATGCTATTTTATAACACTTCGCTTTAATTATGAGTTGCGGTAGTAAGATATTCCACATAACCTATACTTTCGTGGAAACAGAAATATTAATGATTATAATATATTTACCTTAGTAAAGTAAAAGGACCGTAATATTCGCCTTGGCATTCATCTTGGTTATATAAGGCGGTTATGACTAAGGTGCTAGTCGCAAAAATGGTCGGTAATATCTAACATAATTTGCGACAGAGACAAAGATAATCCGTTCGTGATGTCCACGAGAAGATAAGAGTAATATCTGCAAGGATCTTGCGGCTTATGTATCCATTATTTACTGTATACTATTTCCACTGTGATTAAGTTATCTCTTGGTTCAATAAATCTTACCATCAATGTATCAACTTGAATCTTCAAAGCCTAAAAAGATGAGCTACTTAATTAACAAATTATAAGGATATTTTAGCGATATTATTGTTGAGTCTGTTATTATCCGGCTCTGAAAATAAAGTGGTATAATCACTACTTAATATTTCATAAATGATGTATTGTTAAGTAGCTTATTTTGGTTTATTGTTTAAAATCGACTCGATTGGTTTGAAAATGGTGTCTCGAGAATTTGTTGGGATAAACAATGAATTCTTTAACGTTGTTTTTTAATTTAACAGTTACTAAACATTGTAGAAAGTAACTTTACACTGAATCTGTTAGGCTTTGAAGATTTAAAATAAACATTGCGTGTAATTGCATGCACATACGAATAAGTATGAACCGCAAATATGATGCTATTTGTAAATTGTCTGCCTTTTAGAACAAGCTTTGAATAATATCACGGGATAGTCTGTAATGTTATAACCGTTTGTATTGTCACTGTCAGAATATAACCGATAGTATAAATATTATCTATCGATAGTACAAAATTTTAAATTACACAAGTACAACACGAGCCATTAAGTGGTAATAACAGTTTAAATTTAAAGTCACTAAAATCGTTTGTACGTTTAAAGATATTCATATAATGCCCATGCTTAATAATTATAATAAGTTGCCTTTAAATATTTTGTTCAAACGTATTTGCAATATGATGTTTTTCTGCAACCGTTGACGCTAGGTACCTAATGCTTACTTGGTAAGGGAATTTGGCTGGAATGCTTTAGCCCATTTATGATATTACATTATAGGAATATTAATTTATTTAGCTGCGGCTATTATAGTTGCGAGTGTGCTAACTAAGAGTTGCAGAAATGGTTAGTTATAGTTGGGCAATGTTAATGGTTACTTTTAATAATGGCCACCTAGCACTTTGGCAATAGTTACGCGGTCAGATATAATGACGCGGGTAAAAGCGTGGGATATTTTATTGTTTGTTATTTACAACTACAGGTTTGTTAACTGTTGTAACTACACTTATAATAACGCAACTTAATATTTACAAAAATGCTGTATCCAAAAAAATAATACAAAAATAAAAATATTACAAAAATATAAATTATTGCGTAGATTGAATCATATGAAGAATATCGAATAATCTGTCTAGTGCTCAATCTAAAAATAGAGTTTCTAATTTACTGTCTTTGTTCTCTACGTCTGAAAGAGCACTAATAGGTACCAAATTTCAATATATTTATCCATACATTATAAAATACGAAAGAAGTTTTGACTACGTGAAGTATTGCTATCCAACCAATTAACTTTTTTTATTAAAGTTACTAATACGCAGATTTGTCAACATCAACAATTATAATTCTAACATTTCCAAGGATTTATTTTTTCCATATCTTAGGTTCTTGTTGCAATACGTTGCAACGTAATGCACTCTTTTTTTTAAGTAACTCTCTCATCTGAATTGGTTAAGTTGTAGGAAACATGTTTGCGAATAATTAACTTAAACTTATTACTAAGGGGCAGCTCAAAAGTGATCCTGGTTAGTCACAAACATATTTTTCCAGACGAAATTAGTCATTCATTTTCTTCATCCATGGAAGAAATTTCAAGTAAGTAAGTATATATTCTAAGAGAATTAATAATTATTCTAAGAGAAGCAAGAAGTGCGCAAATTTTATGACCGCTTTGCATAATAAATTCAGAGTGTACAATACCTGTGCCTCAGTGCAATTGTGGTTGCAACGACACGTAGGACGCCCGGTGTCCGAGTCCACGACGCAGTCGCCCCCGCCTTTGCATACGATGTCCGAGCAAGTCTCTGTGTTATAAATATTTCATGCAAATTCCCGTTTATTTGTATAAACTGGTAGACATTGTCCCTGTTTATTTTAACAGCGCAATAATGGTAATATCAGTGTTATTTCAGAGCTTATAAAATAAACAATTTAAAATAGGTCGTATTTAAAGTGAGACCGAAATGTAGAATGGAAATAAAAACAAATTGGACAACTGTATTATGTTGAGATAATATAAGGTGATATTTTTATAGGGGTAGGCAAGATTTGCCAACTTTAACTTTACTCGCACTTAAGTAATAAGGGACAAATCTATTTCCATCAGTTGAGCACTTAAGGAATTAGATTGGCAAATTAAAACTATATTTAAAGGAAAGGTAGATAAGAAGGAAAGGCAACGACGGGATCCATCATCCATCATCCCCTTTAAATCCATACAAGCAATATCACTTATAATGCTTAAATGGACGGATTGGGGAATGTAAGCAAAAGCTTGTGCAGGTCAGAGTTTGAAAGCTCGATCCCTATAATCAACACAGAACATTGACCGAACCTATATCTTTGCTGCGAAGCAATTTTAGGATAAAATAAGGGATTACCTGTAATTTTATTTGAAGAGGCTTTTGTGTTTTATCGACAATCGATAAGTTAAAGCCCCTTTGAAAGAAATCCCATTAAACTGTATCTAAAAGCCGGTAAACGTCTCTATCAAACATTGTTTCAATATAATTAATAGTCAAGCTCGGACGCCTTTATATAATAACATTAATTCGTATTCTCCGTTCATCAATCCGAGTCGCATTCAATTTCCATTCAGTCATTTTAATCTCTAATTGACATTTCAGAGTACAATGATATAGTTCCGAATAATTTATTACTGTGTTGAGTTCCACCAACAAATTGAACTGAATGAATTTCGGTGGAAATAAACGAATGCTCATGTAAGGCTGCACTGGTTTATTAAAATCAAAGTATTGTGGTACCGGCGTTTTCGACCCATTCTATAGAAAGTTGTTTCGCTCGAAATCTCTAGAGCTATGCTTAACTACAAAGAGTTCTTTAATGCATAGGAATTCCTTAATTAATATCTAGCGTTCCTTTCAATCGAAATATAAATTAAGTTCACCGAAGTATTCTTCTTGTGTATTTGCTAGTCTTGTGAGAATTTAAATTAAATATAAAATTAAATTTTTCGGCTGTTGTAGTTAAAGGGAAGAATTCATAAAAATTACCCTACCCCCTTTTTAGCCTCACCAGATATAGCATAATATAAATGAAAGAAAGAGAAAATAATAAATGCCGAGACGGTTATATGATGAGTTATGGGACAAAATTAAATGAGGTATAAATTGCAATATGAACTAGGTTTATTAAGTGATTTAAAAAGTGCTGCGGTAATTGAGGAATAAACCCTTAACGCACGTTGTAACAGTTTAATTGCCAGAGTCAGTAACGTAATTATGAAGGTGGTGTTAAGTGGTCCAAACCCCATATCATACACTATCGACGTGATTCCACTTGGAAAATTAAGCTTAGCTACGGTTTACGATAATACTAGTAATGTGTAGTTTGTGTTATTATTTCTATTTGTATTAGTTTTGTGTAAGATAACAGGTACTATTCTAATACAGAAAAAACGGCAAAATCTTTTTTCCGTATTTCAAAATTGTACCAAAAGCCAAGTTTTTATCTTTTTGGCATGTAATATCAGTGATGAGTTAAGTAATATCATGACTTTTCCAAAAGTACTTGTTACTATGGAGTACAATTACAAAATTGTACTCCATAGAGTTCATATTGTTTTAAGTACATATTTACTTTAAAACAGTCTCTTAAATAAAAAAGTCATAAAATTTCAATAATAAATAACCAATACTCTTTAAATAACCAGATTTTGAATATTTATTATATTTCAATTCTTATTACGAACAGGACAAATTTTCAGTAAATAACCATATAATATCTCTATTATAATATAGATACTCGTACGTAGATAAATTTGTTACCAACGCTACTAAGAAACTTTTGTTAAGGTTATCTAAATTAATTACAAAAGTTACTGTGATAAATTAGTTTAAAGAGGCGCTCTTTGGTAAACGTGGATAGGTAAATTTCATTTTGTGTACAATGTTATGTTGACAAATTATTTTCAATAACTTTTTTAATTCAACATTAAAGGACATTATTGAATTTAAGTTAATAAACTTCTTAACTACGAGTATTTACTGGATCTTTAAAACAATAAAACTGTTGCAAAGACCGGGCTGTATCATGTTTCGTTTTGTAGAATTATAATAGTTTTTTTAAGGATCTATGTAAGTAAACCATCTTGAGGTAACTGAGGTTCATAATATGGAATTTCATATATTTGCCAAATTCTGTCAACCTTTATCACTAATTGAAGTTTTTGCTGAGACACTCTATACAATTTGCACCCACTCATGTTACCTAACTTTTGCCGATCGAGTACTTTGGAAATCAGCTTTGTGAAAATTTGGAATACATTGGAAGGAAAAGTGGGCATTGAAAGTAGGTTAATATAAATGATAGTAAGTGGGTTGTAGATGAAATTCATCATCATCACCATCAACAGCCTTTACTAGTCCACTGTTGAACATAGGCCTCCTTATAAACGCTGGCCAGAAGGGTTGCTATAGGGTTTGTGTCAAGTTTTCCTTCTTTTTGCAGTGCTGGTGTCCTGCGTTGTTTTTCGCCCTTAGTCGGCTTTTACAACACGGGATGAATTGGGATAGTGACATTTCGTATTCTTAATACGTCACTACACGGACAGATGAAATTACGGTTTAATTACTTACAGATAAAGTGAAATGAACATTAAGTAATACTCACGACAAGTTCCGTTGTATAACACTCGCAGTTCACCGTCAGGGACGCCTTCTTGGCACGCGTGCATACGCATCTTACATTCAGAGCCATAGGTATTGGTATCCGAAGCACACACGGGCGTGAGCGTAGCATCACATACCGGGCAGGCGCATTGCGCAGCACCACCACGTGCCACGCACGCTCCTCCCCATGGACAAGATGCGCGTGCGCAAGGATTTTCTACACCTGATAAAATATTATTATAATCAGGAAATCGATCAAAGAAATTTCCAATTTAGTTGACTAACTATATATTTTCTTATTCCACGTCTTTTTTATGTTTTTTTTTTAAAACTAAAAAAAATATCTTAGATATTATGAAATACTAATTTTGAAAAAAAAAACACAATAGTTAAAACGTATTCGAAAAAGGATAAAATAATTTGAAAACCCTCGACCTAACCCGATTATGTACGAAAGATAATATACGTAAAAAGCTTTTTATAATAGAGTTGATGTGTCGCGAAGTCGGTCATAATATAAACAATTGAGTATCAGTTTTTACAGCTACCTATTTTGTTCAGTTTACCTATTTGTTGCTCGAATAAATACTTAGATTAGGCAATAATAAAAACATATTCAACTCTTTCAACAAACAAACACACAAACAAATATCTTTCACCCAAAACGCATATACCTTCTCAGGATAAAATAAATAAAAAGATAAAGATAAACACCACATTAAAATGTATAAATTTAACTGACTCAAATTTTTCGTTTAACATCAAGCTAATTACAAATAACAATAAAGAGAGAAAAAGATGGGATATCTTAATGCCTCTTCATAGTCAAACTGACTAAGCTACTAGGGACATCTAATAATGTTTAAAGTTTCACTTACCACAAGGTCCTGTATAAGCTATTCGTACATCTCGGTTGTCAAGACATGAGGTGCGCTCCAAATGGCAACGACTGTCATACGTCCGTCCATCGGAGCCACATACGGGCCGTACCACCGGTTCGCATTCAGGACCACAGCCGCACACTGCGACTCCACGTGCATCCAAAGAACAACGCTCCCGCGAACCACATTTTACCGAATCACAGGGATGTTGAGCTATTTCATGTTAAAAAAAAACATTTCTGAAAGTCTATATAAGGGTTGAATGACAGCTTTTGATTGTAAATACAATTAAAAGCTGTCATTCGGTCTTTATATACTTTACAGGAGCTGACACAAAATTTCTAAGAAAAATTTCATCCAAAATGTATTAAGGCTGATGGACAGAAATTGACACAAAACAGCAGTTCCAATTTTAAAGTTTAATCTCAAATAATGAAATTATTTCATTTTTGCCACAATTTCTTTCGGGTCACCTTGACGCTTCGATGCTCGTACCCAATTACTTTTGTAAGGACAAAATGTCTTCTAAACACGGGATACAAATAAGCCGGCTCTTTAAATTCCAGAGTAAAGATTTAATTTTAGATTAGAAAGAATAGGAAGGTAAGTAGGCTTTCGGGTGTAAGCTATTTATTATAATTTAAAACAAAAACAGATGGATACGGCCATGAGGATGCATATTGTATAAAAGTAATAGAAAATTACCAGAGGCACATTCTCCTCTGTAGGCAATAGTGAGTTGCTGTCGAGTTCGACACGATTCTCGTCGCAAAGCACATTCACTTGGATAGTCCCTGTAATCGGAGCCACACACAGCAGATCCAGGCCGTACCAACAGATCACATGGTGGACCACATTTACACACGGGAGCTCGCACTTCATTTAATTGACACAAGCCACCGTCAGCGCATTCGTGTTCTGAGCATGGATCTGAGAACAAACAGAACATTTTTTCTCTCAAGGAACGGTAAAAAATTGTAAATAAAAATAAATATAGACAAAAAAAAGGCAAAGCTTTCTCAAAGTAGACTTTATCTTTTTTGCTGTGATAATGGTGTTTACTTAAATTCCCGTCTTTTTATCTACTGAAACAGTTCAGGCTATGATGAAAATCTAATAAAAGCACAAAGGTTACAGTAATGTAAATAAAGAATTTCACAAAGAATGTTAGAATGTAAGCACTTTTGGTCTTGTACAAATTTAGTACAGATCAAATATTCGAGGACAAGTTTAGTGAAAAGGGTTAGCGAGTACATAAACTAAACAAATTAAATTACTTCTGCAAAAAAGAAAACAAACAACCCAATATATGTATGAGAATATATTTCAATGTAATAAATATTGTCTAACTTTAGGATGGATAGTACTTTATTGCCTATATATAAAAATACAGATACAATAAATATATCAATAGAGTATTTATGTAGTTTAAGTAGTTTGGCGCTACATTTACTTATATATATTTATTACAAATATGCCACTAAGTGGATATTTTTCAATAAAAGGAGAATGACAGAAGGCGTGTCACCTTTCTACGCACGTTTGCTCAGGAAGCCCGATTTCATTCCGGGACAGTCACGTCATCTGACACGGGCAAAATGAAAATGTTGACCCTTTTTGTGAGACTCGCGCTTATTATTAAGAAAAGACCTCTTAACGAGTTCCTTTTATACTCTTGGAGATCGACTTTAACAATATACCGTCATCATGGTTTAATTAATAATCCCCCATTAAAAATACTGTGCGATTGCAATTACTGTAGCTAAAATAGTTTTAGTCTGATTGTAATATTCAAAAAAAAAAGAAAAAGAATTCAAAAAATATTATAACATTACATTTCTAAATACCACATGAGTCTTATGAAAAAAAAAACTTGTAATGGTCACGAAAAAAATTACAAATCATTTTTTTTACTTCAGTTAATAATTATATTATCAGAAACTTTAAATATTTATAATAACATTTCTAGCTGTTGGTAAAATGTTTGTATTATATTATGTTAGGCATAAAAGCTATTTTATTGATATTTTATGTTATGAAACTAAGAAACACGAGTAAAATTGATATGTTAAGTGTTACAAATGAGAATTCTTTTTAACACATTTATAGAATTTGGTACATTATCACTATATGCAAATAGTGAATCTCACAAAATATGCTTAAGGCACATAATCTGTTGTTTACAACATAAAAAACCCTTAGTAAAGAAAATTTATCGTAGGTAGTTCTTGAACTTACCACATTTTCCATGATATTTAATAGTTGTATTCATTTGGTTGTCACATGCATGCTTATCTAAATGGCATACGGATGCGTATTCTCTGCCATCAGTGCCACAGACTGGCTTCCGTCTCTGACAACTTCTTGGACATCTACATTCTGGTTGACCATAAGCTGCTACGCATCGTGCGCCAGCTGGACACGAAACTGTGGTACATGGATCTCCTGCGTCTGTAACAGAAGAGCTTTAAAATAATATGAATACTTATATACTTTAAAATTATAGACATTAAATGGGTCACAGGAATGTTGTGATCAGAAATCCCTGAAATCGGTAGGTATTTGTAGTAAATGTTAAAAATATATCCTTTTAAGATTTATCTATAAATACCGATTTCAGGCATTTCTGATCACAACGTTGCTGTGACCCATTTAATGTCTAAGTATTTCCAATAGTCAATCTTATAAAAGACAGTTTTCTTTTTCAAAGTAAAAAATAACAAAATTAATTAATAATAAATTAATTAAGATTTTTTAATTAAGACCTAAGTATTGAACAATAATGGACTACTAAGCTCTGTTTTAACCATTTAAAAAAATCATAAGAAACCCTTTCACTGATCTGAAAGGGGAGCTTCCCCTCAGACAAATTTTCTGTTCAAGCCGATGCTTGTAATGAATAAGTTGCTGTACAACACTGAACGAGTTTTGCATTTTCATTGTAAAATGTATTTAAAGTAATTTACGAATTTGAATGACTCACGCTACTTGATTAAATTAATCAATACACTGTATGGATATTATTCTACCCGATAACACCTCAGCTACGAAACTGAAGTTTATACTAAAGCCGAGTAACAGTTAATTCATCATTATAAAATAACATATCATAGTTTAGTGAGCCTTACCACATTCACCCTCATGCTTGACGCGTAGGTTCAGTCGACGTTCACAGGCTTCCTTACGTAAGTAGCAATGGTTTCGGTAAGTGCGACCCGCTGTCGAGCATACCGGGGCTGGGGCGCTGGGGCAAGTGGCAGGGCAGGCGCAATGGGCGCGTCCATCCCCAAGAGACACACATTCCGCTCCCCAACGGCAAAATGTTTTTTCACATGCTTCTGAAAATCAGACCTTATTGAGAATACAGGACATATATTCACAAAATGTGGGTTCTAGATCGTCAGAGCAAAGAACACTTTGTATATTAAAAGACTATTTATTATATGTGCATAACTATACTAATATTTGTTTAAAAATATAATGTTTAAACCTTGTTTGAAACTTTAAGTATTGTGTATTTTAAAATTTCAAAACAGCTGCAAAGTTTGCAGAAGATGGCTGCCTATTCGCTTTGTTTTTTTAATCATTTTAAACGTTGTGCACTTTTGTACAACCGCGGACTTAATGCCCAGGGCATTCTCTTCCAGTCACCCTTTGGGTAGTGTAGAACTCCTGTAGTTTATAACATATTTCCCAAAGATTATGCAAAGTATTTTTGTAGAAAGCTACGTATTATCAGAAATATTAAACGGCTGGAAATAAGTCATTACACATTCGAAAAGTGACGGAATTGATTAAGGTCCGACGCGAGTATCAACCGTGAATAGCGCTAATAAAACAGATATTCCGTCGTCGGCAGTCGCCGGCGAATTCTTTGAAGAAGATATAATTCTTTAGCTAACTCCGCTATAGATGACACAATTTCCAATTTTCTACCTGACTAGTCAAAAGCGTGACTAAATTATTGAGACGGACTAAAATAAAATGCGAGTTTTCTTTCTTCCCAAGCAGTATGTTAGTAGCTTTTGAGGATCACTAATTTCAATCGTCTTGTTAAAATTCTAAACAGATGACGTCTAACGTAAAGTCACAATGAGGCTTAAAGTTACCTAATTTAAAATTTTCGTCTCAACATTAAACTTGCAAAGTGTTAACATTTGTTAGTCGTAATGTTTATTTTAGTGGTTTGTAAAAATCGATGTAGTAGCTTTATTGCTATTAAACGGGGACAGTTTGTACAACTTTCTTTCAAAGGTTTATCGGTTTTGCTTATGGCGTTTAATTAATTCACCTGTATATTACAAGGTGAACCAACTCTTATTTAATGGGTGTCACGGCAATTTTGACACCTATTCAGTGGTGTTAAACGTGCTTGCTTTTTAATTCCGCTGATTTAAGTACGCTAAGTTGTTTCAACGGATAAAAATTCTTTCATATTTTCTATTAAATAATACCCGTAAGTGTTCGATTTTAACATGCAGTTGATACTGACATTAACCTATAATTGACATATATAACTCTTACAATAAACTCTTTTAGATAGATATCTACTTAATTTTTGTCAAAAAATTTGTAAGAAATAAATTTTAACAGGGTTTTTATAAAGGTATAAGAGTAGTGTACATCACTACTTGCGTCGACAAGCTTGTGTAAATGCTCTTAAATCTTCAGAGCATCGAACCAGCCGACCACTGAATTAATTGATATTATCGCATTGACGTTCTTCGTGATAGTATAATATTTTGAGCATAATGTTAAGCGTATGAGTACTTTGTGGGCTTTGCTAGTTCTTGTCCTAACAAATGAACCCCTAGTACGAAACTAACCACCCTAACTATTAATTATACGCCGGTCCGCACGCGACTACAAGTAATGCTCTAAAATTAACATTCTTTAATTAGAGAAAAAGTGAATAATGTAATTATTTTGTATTTGTATGTTTGAAATTAATTGTAGTGATGTTAGATATTTGACATTTAAGTCATTACGATTAAATCAAGTCAAATATGATTTAAATATGTTTAATAGCTGTATATTCAATTGAATTAAAAACGATTTGGTTAATATAATATACAATTGTTTACTTAATATTTAATTATACACAATATCCTAGATGTGAATAATTTAAAGACTGGCCATTTGTTAGTATATACAGTAGTTATAGAAAGTTCATAAAACGACGGTGCACAGTATTATACAGTTGAGTACGTTCTGTGACTTTTATAGTTAATGGTGACCATAACTTAGTAAGTGACAAATTCTTTTTATTATTATAACCATCTTTACGATTCTGAAAAAGGTCAAGTATTCAGCCACGAACTCATTTCCTTGCCTTTCATATAAAGGTTGCAGACGAATCCCTTTAAAGAAAAGAAAGTAGTCGGAAATAACAATTTTGTAAGAAACAAACAAAATGTTAGCAGGCGATTCGTTGTTGAAGAAGCCCGAGATAAATGGAGACAGGGAGGGGAGATAAAAATGATGGCGGATGCTACGTGAATGGGAGAAAATTAGGAAATTCACCGCGAAGCTTTTTCAGGCACGAAAGCTGTTTAAATTATCCGTATTATCTCTATAAATACGTTTTACTTGTCTGGTTTTATATTCAATTACAAGACCTTAAACTATAATGTTAAGTTATTGTGTCAAAGAAAGAAAGCTGCGTTCATTTGCTCTTTTCTTCACATATTGTATTGTTCGTGTGATATACCCAAACAATATGTTACAGTGTACAGTTGTTAAAAGGAATAAACACAAAATAAAATATAACATAATGTAGGTGTTCATTGTCACTGACATAATTCGGAACACGCTCTTCTAAAGTCAGGGAGACAAAGCAATTTTGTTGGCTCGTGACACCGACTTAGTTGGCATGTCACTCGCACAGTGTACCTTCACATGTGGATTGTGGACTTCAGATAAGCTTTGAAAACGTACCAGAATACATAATACCTACTCATACCTAATTAAATGGACTTAATAAAATTTCATTTCATGAAGAAAATCCCTTTGTTAAAATTTTGTACGCTGCGGCGTTCTATAAATCCCATTCGTTAATTGAAGTTTTATACTTGATTGGAGCTATAAAATGTAAGCAAAAATGGATCTGCGTCGGAAAGTCAGGAAATGTGATAGAGTAATGGTAATATTTCTTTTAAAAATACAGAAATAAAAAAATAATAAATTTCAGGAAACGGAATAAAGACCAGTATTGTACAAGAGTAAGTTATGCAGGTAAGTTAAATAAATATTGGTTTTTTATAAAGTAATATGCGTTTAAAACTATAAATTAAATTAAGTTTCAATGTTTAAAACATATAATAAAATATGAAATAACTTTTTAAATATCACTCGATGGTTTTGGTTTTAAACACAATGCTATACAGGAATGAAAAAAGGAAGGAAAAGAGGATGCTATACAATAAACGTCAGAAAGGTATATTTCTATTTAAAATTGAAAAGAAGGAAAACATACGTCACTTATCTTATTAATTCTAATAAACAGTTTCGAAGTATATTTTATGTCATTCTGTTATTTATTATTTACTACAACATACACAGAGCCTTTGGTAAACGACATCATTTTTAATTAAATAAGAGGTAATGTAACATTTATGTAAAAATAGGTGTATGTATATCTGTAAGTACATATATGTGATGAAAAGCATAAACCTATATTATTAGTATTCTTTCACTTATGTAGATTGTATCCACAGCTGCCATCGCAAGAAAAGCTTGCATTACTTCGAAAGCTGATTGTTTGTGGTTTATTTAATTATCATTACATTCACTTTGATCATTGCATTTCCCTTTTTTTCGATTCGGACCGAATATCCACTATGGATGCCGTATAAATAATCTTTTACAAATTATATAGGGCTTACGATGAGATTAATGATAAAGAGACAGAGACATCACTTATTAAAACCAATATGGACACAAGTTTATAGGAATGAAATACACTTAGTAAACATACTTTTATCGGTGTCTATAATGTTGTTTTTTACAATCAATGGTATTTAAATCTGGTATTCGAATGAGATCGATCCTATATTTGAGCATTTATATCTTTTTTTACTGAGGTTAGCGAATATTGTATTCAATTAATATACCTAATAAAACGATATTCATTATGTGGCATGCTCGCGGTAAATACAGCATCGAATGAACACGAATTTATGGTGAACACACTAATAACGCTAGAACTATTTATTATTAACTCTAAAAACTTAAAAAAATTAAAGAAAGGCTTTTCAAAAACAGATTTCTAAGGTCATGTATCTATGAATAAAGAAAACAACGTCTCTCAAGATTTTATTATTAAAAGGTCACACACAGTTCTGCCGCTCGAATTAAAAAATGGTCATCATTTTTTGTTTGGATAAATGGAATAAACACGGACCATTTTGATGCTGGAACTTCTCGAAAACAACTTGCAAAATGCTTTAATAAATTTCGAATAATGTTATCATGTCTGATATAGAAGAATTGATTGTGGCTGATTTTCATGGAATATGATGCGTTCCTCTAAAATTAGAGGTTCCGATTGCTGATCTCATCCGTACGCCGGCAGCCTATGTCTCTGACCACGGCCAATCTGGTCGCAAATTCAGGCAATTTCAAAGTAAGTAATGAATACATGTGTAATTATTACGTATATTATGAAAGGCTATATTTAAAAGTTAATCATATATTATTTCTAACTTAATTTACCTGTATGAAATTATGTAAAAATACCTTATATTTAATTTTATTTTTAATCATAAAAATTACCAAATAGTACTTACCCTCAGCAGCCGGAGGTCTTGGTTGGTAGTGTAAATCTGAAACAAATGCAAGATCAATTAATAAATTTAATTGCTGCACGACTGCACGGTTCCCGTAGTGGTTTAAGCGGTCGCCACAACACTTACTAATACGCTGAGTGTTGTGGGTCCGATCCCCACATGGGACGACACTTTGTGTGATCTACAAATTGTTGTTCTGTGTCTGGGTGTTCTTTGTGTCCGTTTCATGTATGTTTGTGAAGTCCCCCACAGGATATATTCCTAAGGCGGGAGTTGTCATTAAAAAAAAAAAACAATAAAAAATAAAATAAAATGCTAGGATAAAGACTCGTCGTGGATTATTTTGGTGATGCAGGTACATGAAGCTTTAGACATGAAAACTACCTACTCGTTATTTTTTTAGAGCATGATACGTAGTACAAAAAGGAGTCATGTCTTGATTCCGTAGTCACTCTATTTCACGCAATGATAGATTGTAGTTTAAAATACTTGTTATTACGTTTTGTAATTGAATATTTATTATGACCACAAACTCATTACGGTTCGAACTAACCTTTCCACAAATTCTATGCAGCAGATTGATGCACAAAGCTAAATAATGTAATTGTAAAACCAGTCTATTTCCCTACCGCAACAAGTTTAACTGCCGATTGTCGGTCAGTATGTTTAATTATGCTTGCCTATTTAAGCTATAACAGAAGCAATAAGCGTTTTATTTGTTAGTATGGGTGTATGTGTGTGTGTTTTTTAAATAGTTATCTTGTTAATTTAAAACATAATGAATTACGATACGAAATCAGTAAGTTAGTAGTCAATGTAAACAAGAAGTAAAATTTTTCTTTCTTTTAAATGTACAGAATTGAGTTGTCTCAATCTTGATATCTGGTTTACCAAAAATACCAGATATATATATATTTATATATTTATAATAGTTTATTAATAAAATACTAAGCCATCTTTATTTATGAGTATTGCGGTGGTATCTCTGGTATCCTAAAACAAATTATTAAAACTCTAAGCCCCTTACACTCTAATCTACGGTTGAGAGGCTTGTTGTCGACGAGACTACAGATGGGTTGGTTCAGACTAAATGAAAAATACCCCTCCTCTGGTTTTTATGACAGCGAATTATATATTTCCTTTAGAAAAAAAGATGATACAGATTTCAGGCGTTGAACTATGACACTGTAAACTAAAATAAAGGGGAAGTTTTTTTAACACGCTATACATCACAATCCCGCCATTTAAAGGTGTGGCTATGTTTTTATTTGCAAAAATTAAGTATATGATAACATAAACAGTTTAGACAGTCAGCAACATTAAAGATTTAATTTTAAAGATAAAACTGAAATATATCGACGGGCCTATTGGTTTGGTCTGGTTAGCGATCTAGCCAAGGCAGAGGTCGTGAGTTCAATTCCCAGCCAGGATAAATATTGTGTGAGGAACATAATCATCCATACTCAAATTCGATCGATTCCATATCCATACTAATAATATAAATGCGAAAGTGTGTCTGTCTGTCTGTCTTTCTGTCTGTCTGTCTTTCTGTCTGTCAGTCTGTCTGTTTGTCTTTCTGTCTGTCTGTTACCCCTTCTTGCTTAAAGCGCTGAACCGATTTAAATGAAATTTGGTATCAAAATACTTTGATTCTTGAGAAATGATTTAGGCCAACTTTTTACCGCGATAACCGACATTAAGCGGGCGGCGGGCAAAAGTTAGTTTTTCATATGTCTGGGTGTAATTTATCTCCATATATATATATATATATATATAAATATATATAATTTGTATGTATTTAGAATATTATAAGAAATATATAAGTATACTTATTTAGGAATATATGTGTTTTCGCCAAAACCGCTTTTAGAAAGTTATAGGTCTTCCGGATTATCATTTGTAGTACAACTATATTAAGTCAATTAAGGTGTCACTACCACAGAGCGTTTAATTTGTGTATATCTCTCTATTTCTATTTAAGTACCATGCATGCTTTATTCACACGAACCATTTCGAGTTATTTTCGGATCCACTACAACTAAAGATCGGATCAACATATTAAACTAGACTGTAGGCTTTTTACTATACCATAACTTTAATGGCAGATTACTTGCTGCGGTAGGAAATAGGATGGCGACCTGAGCGCATAAGACGCAATCGGGCCGCCACAGGACAGGTCCTGATTAAGCGTGGTGTCGATTCGGGAAAGATCTGAAATCACATGATCCGGGTCCTCCCCAGAATAAGGCACCTGAGGCTGGCCGTCGGAGTGGATTTTAGTTTACACACCACATACTACTGGCTCCAGCGTCCCCTAGGTGCTGGAGATCCGAAGAGATTTTCTAAGGGAGGGGTGACTGACTGACTAACTAATATGATATTGAAAATAGAGTTCTCCACTTCTAAGCCATCTAGAAACTTGAAGTTGGGTTAAGGCTAACTGTTTTAAAAACGACAAAAGGCATTATATTTTTTCAGAGAACTGTAATCCTAGTAAGGAACGCTTATAGTTTCGTCATGTCCGTTTGTCTTTCCGTGCCTTCGTCTGTCCCTAGCTTAGAGAGTGTTAGTAAATAAATAAAAAAAAAATTCAAAATACACAGCCTACAACTTTAGTATATGGAAGGTAGTAATTTTGAAAGTTTCTATTTAATAATCACATACCGACTAAGTGCCAAAATATCATCTAGAAAAAGTTTACGGTGAATGCTAATGTACTAATCTACAGATAAATCGTGTATGAATTTTTTTCTCGTCTATTCCATCGTACAGAATATCGTCGGAACACCTGTGTATTTTTTAAATCAATTTGTGCGATTATGATATAATAATAAAATCATATTTGTAAAATAAAACGAAACAAATAGTCAAATACTATGCCATACGCTTCGTGTGATATTTTCGTGCATTGCATATTTGTATATTAAGTAGCATGCGACTAAGTATTGTACTAACGTGCGACCCTGAAAGCACGTGTCGCTGAATTAGTCCGAATCGTTGACGTCACAGGCACCTCTAGCTGCGTACCTAACGTGTAAAAAAGGTCATGACTTTATAAAACTCCTAAACCCTCTACAGCGTATCACCTACGGTCAAGATACGCAAAATGTTGGTTTTATTTTCAAGTTCTTCCACAAAATTACTCGTACATTCGCCTTGATATTTACAATACTACTAACCTGAAATTGAATTTAAAAGAAAGAAGTTTGGCAGTTACACAGGTTTACTTTCCTTTATTGATTTACTCAACTTTATGGGAGCTTCAATACTCTTTATCGTTTCAAAAGAATTGTTATTTACGTTATTTTATACGTTTTATCAGTTTAGTTTAAATAAGTCGAAAACCATGTATGCAAATCCTGGTAGTAGTACTGACAGCTTAAACATAGTAGGGAAATTGGATTTCAAAAAGGATTGCTCGACAAACATGACGTCTTCTTAAAAGAATTTTCGGTGTTCAAGTTGAAGATAAGAGGGCTCAGCCTATTCTTGAAATGTTCCTCGGATATTCAACAAAAATGTATTACATATTCACTCACATTAGAAACACATACACAGTGAAACTGCGAGATATTTTTATGATGAATGTTTATTCGTTTGAAGTTACTTAACTTTTATGAGTTTATAATATGTCAAATCGAACATGTACTTTAAAATAATATGTAAATGGAAATAAAATCGTATACTTATATGCGACCAGACGCGTAATCAGTGCGTATGCTTAATAAAGGATTAAACAACTTATTTAATTATATCCACTTCAGAATATTATTTTTCAGGAACTTAAATACACGAGAAAGAAAAGTAAGCAAGAAAGTAATAATTAATACTAAACTGAGTCGTCATTTCTTAAGTAGGTACCTACTTTTTCCATGAATATTAAAGGATAAAGGTTCATTAAAAGTAATTTTAATCCGATTTCTCTGCGTTGCATATTAATCAGTTTACGTTATTTTATTCAGACGGATTTGTAACAAGCCTTGCGTAAAAAAATAAAAGAAGTAATGGAGTCTATATAGGGATTAATTTGTGCTCAAAAAAAGAACGTAAGATCTATAATGTGACACAAAGAGATCGCGGCTAATGGGTCCGTGGTGCGAATAAATATAAAATACAACAAGAGGCTGGCAGGTTGCTCGGCCACAAGCCAGGGTGTGCTGGGGCGGCGCGCCATATTGTTTTATTGCAAATTGGTTGGACGTAGACCGCGCCTGTCCTTTACATATACGAGGCTATTAAACTACCGCCAGTGTCCAGTCACGTGTTAAACGAATTCGATCGCCGCATACAATGTTAGGAGGCCAATGTTTGTGACAGGGAATGGAAGTTAAGAAATCTCTGATCTTAAATTTGCTGCTTAAATTCGAATATCAATAATATACGCGTTTAAATAAATACTCGATTAAAAACTTGTTACATTGCCTTATTTACATTTAGTTCGTCTGTAACATTAAAATCTGTACTATATTTAATGTAAAGTTTGCTATTATTATGTCATCTTTCAATATTTATAAAGCTAATTGAAACTCATATTTATTCCTATTGTAACACGCCTTGAACCCTACTCAAAGGCTTAATGAGAAACAAGAATTGACAGAGTGTTTGTTTATTTTAGACACAATATGACTATTTCTAATATAGTTCGACGGTTTATTATTAGTTAGTGTATTGATTTGTTAGTATATTGATTATATTGATTCCTCCGTAGAAGCAATCCATTTCCTACCATTGCCTTCCTATCTTATCAACTTTGTATTTCATATTCACATAACACCCAGATTGATGCTATTACATCAGTTGGATAAAGATTACAGTCAACTAAATGAGGTTGCTTTTTGGTAATGGTTGGTAATTTTACAAAATCAGTCACTGCTGTGTAGCTAAAGTATGAGTACCTTTTGATGAGCTCATTGAGTTGCCGAATCCCTATAGATTTAACATTTGATTATAATTAATAATCAAAAACCACTTTTTAAATTATATCACTCGCCTTGATCTGGAGTTTTATCTTTTATTTAAAATTTATTTAAAAAAAA